GCCACCTGGGCAGGGTCCTGGTGAGAGTAAGAAAGTAGGCTGAGCTAAAAGCATGAGCAAGTCAGTAAGTGGCAATCTGAACTGATGCTTTCCCCTCTCCGTCCACAACTGAGTTAACTACACAGCTGACATTCTAAAGTCTCAGTAAGGCTGATACAAAAAAATTAAAAATATAGACCACTTAGAATTAAAGAGAAAGAAAAATCAAGTCTCCTGCTCTGATTATAAACTTTTGATAGTTAGTTTTCCCCTTCTCATTTCTATACAGTAAAGTGGTTTTCCCCTAAGGCTAATAATATGAAATACAGAGGACAAACGTGCTAAAACGGGCCTGTTGTTTGGCACATACCCTACCCTCTCCACTGCTGAGCCTGCATTGGCCTTTATGACCATCCCCACTAAGTGCAAAGGTTATCCGTGACTTCCACCACCGTGACCTGCCTCACTCTCTTGCAGCCTACTAGACGATGAGGAGGCCAGGGCAGCCACAGACACTGCAGAGAGGAACGGACCTACTCCCCAACATTTCACAGCTATGTAAAGGAGACTTAAGGGGTCACCCGGGCTGGAGGCGGCTGGGCGTTGAGAGCGCTTGTTGCTCCTCCAAGGACCCAGGCTTAGCTCCAGCCAGCATCAGGGAACCTGATTCTCTCTCCTGACCTCAGTGGGCTCTTGAATGCACATGGCACACATACATACTTCGACACCGCACACACACACACACACACACACACATAATAAACCTTTATATATATATATATATATATATATGTTTATTTATATATATATGTTTATTTATATATATATGTTTATTTATATATATATATATCTTTATACACACATACACATAAAAGTTTTAAATTTTTCTTTAACATGTATTGGTGTGAGGGTGTCGGATTCCCTGGAACTGGAGTTACAGACAGTTGGGAGCTGCCATGTGGGTGCTGGGAATTGAATCCAGGTCCTCTGGAAGAGCAGCCAGTGCTCTTAACTGCTGAGCCATCTCTCCAGCTCCCACAAATAAATCTTCCAATAAAGAAAGCAGGTCTTTCAGCTCCAGTGAAGCGTATGCAGGGACGGTGGATGAAAAAGGAACGAGCCATGGGCTATGTTCAGACTCAGCTTCAAGGCGGTTTGTTAGATTCGGACATCACTGGTAGACTTTCACCTACAGAAACACAGCTCAGCTTCACAGAAAATGCTGGTTTGGGCCCCAGCACTGTACAAACTGGGTGTGTCTGCATGCTCGGTAGCTCCAACACTAGCAAAGCAGAGCACAGGTCACCAAATTCACCCTTGGCTCAGAGTTTGAAGTCAGCCTGGGCTACATGTGACCCTAACTCAGAACAGAAACAATAATTCTACCACCTAACACTTCTATTTTCTATATGATAAAATAAACCAGGAAAGTACATTTGACAATTTTCCTTCAAAATGTTTTTTTCATGTATGCTTCCTTATAGGATATTGCTCTTAACCTCTGACATCTTTCCAGCCAGATTTGGGGGAACTTCTGGCTAGAATTATAAATCCAGTATTTTTAAACCAGTCATAGTTTTAAAAAGACTAAAGATTGCACTGCTCTGATAAGGTAATGTCAATTATATACCCACATAAATTCTAACATACAATCCAAGTTTTATCAGATAAAAAATAATGAATTTAGACTCTTTATTCCTACTATAACAAAAAATCAAAGTGCAACACTGACATAAATGTAAGAGACAAAAAACAAAACAACAACCCCCCCCCCCAGCAAAGTCTTGATGATCACAGATGCCAGAGAGTCTCCTCTGCACATACAACCACAGAAAGCTATGAGGGGAAAAGGAAGAGGCGGACGGCCTCCAGGCTCCCTCTTCAGAACCTGAAAAGGGTAGAGCCCATGCTTTTGAACACCCAGAATTTTAAGAAAATAAAATTTGCTTAAGCCTTCCAGTTTCTGTGGCATTTTGTTAGGAAAGTCTGAGTCAAGAAAGGCAAGTGCCAAACTGAGTTCTCCAGGAGACAAGCGCTGTCACACAGACAGTGTGAGCGTGCACAGTGCGCCACGCACTGGCCAGTGCTGAGGAAAGAGAGAGCGGTGTCTACAGAGATTGTTTCTGATAGTCCAGACATGCTGGTGGACCTCTGTGGGAGGAGCGCCCAACAGAAGCAAACTCCCTGAGACTGAGAAGAAAGCTCGCCGCCTCTGAAGACAAAAACAGAGGCAAGACAGGCTCACGACGTGGCTCAGCATGAGCAAGGGGAGGCAGGAATGAGAGCAAGCGCCGGCTCAAATGCCAGCAGCCCTCTCAAGTGATCGAAGGGAAGTCAGAGACATGGGCTGGCAGCTGCTAAGACTTATACTGAGCTTGAGCTTGAAGAGTTCACAGACGTGCCAGGTTTGAAAGGTCTACTTGTGAAAACAACATAAAACTCCCTTCTGGAACTGATAAAGAGCCAAACTTTAAGTGACTTCAGAATACCACTACTCATTCTGAAATACCCTAAAAAGTAGACCTGTCCATCAGACTAAAACATTAAACTGTAGAAACCAGTAGAAAAGAAACTGAATAATGTGAACCGTAATACTGTTCAAAGACAGAGTGTCAGAAACAGTCCTGATGGGGCCAGCAAGAGGGTTGAGCAGGGAGAGGTGCTGCGGCCACGTGGAAGAAGACTGAAAAGAGAGTCAGGCCTATCAGCTGGCCTCTGCTACACACAATAAACAGACACATGTAATAACTTACACATGTTGCTTCAGGAGTAGCTAGGACGTGAGCCACTGAGCAAAAAAGGTACATGCCAACTCCAGTTACCTAAATGACTTTCAGAGACCACGCCAACTGGCCCACGGGTCTAAACTGCATTTCCTCCATCGCCACACTAGACAGTTTTTGATAAGCGTCTAACTCCCCCTCCTGCCGCCCTCCGCTGACATCCGCTTGCTGCTCCCCATGCAGTCGTGTAAATACAGATCCAAGGAAAACGAAATTTCATGCCTCCAACCATGTCCTAGGCTGGGTCACTAACAATGTGAGGTAAAACAGAGATTCCATGACTGGGTAAACGAGACCAGGTGGTGAAACAGATCAACTGTCCTCAGGCCGGCCAGCTGAGCTGCCTACCCACTGCGAGTGGACGTGCTAAGACAGATTCACAGATGTCAAGAACGATGGTGAGCAGGAGGCTTTTTACCAAGTACTGATTCTCAAATGGGTTCCTCGTTCTGAAACTTCCAGGCATATGAAAAGCGTTCATAAAAATAGACACGTTAGATTTCAGCTCACAATAACTCAATACCCATTCTGTCCATGGCTGACAATTAATGAGTGGTTCACTAATGCAGTTCAGTAACCTCTCCTCTTCAAAAACCAACAAAAAACCTGTGTCAAACACAAATTTAAAAACATATCTCTATTACATTCTTTTACCATGTGTAAGAAAAATAATTGTGCTAAAGCTTAAAGTCCTGATTTCTAAGAAAAGTGTAAAATACTTAACAGACTACAACCTCCCATTCCACGCTGCAGCCACGGTTAACAGGAAAAGGCGAGCTCTTTAAACATGTTTCCTTCCTGCCGGGCCACTACCAGAACACAGACAGACATGTGCGATCACAGGCAAACACAGCAGTTGCTCAATAAAATGGAGTCCCAAAATTCAGCTGACTGCTGAAAATGTGTCTACTAAAGAAAATTCCAATACAATTCTTTAAATTATAAACTCTGTAAAGTAATAAAAAGTAAAATTTACTTACTTTAGCAATCTGAAGCAACACAATGCAGTGTTTAATGGATTCTACCATGCTCTATAAAGACAAAACACTGATTTTAGGATCTTGCTGCAAATTAAAGAGTTACATGATATTAGAGCTTAAAATAATTTAAAAAAATCAGTTCTCATACACAAAGGAGTGAGGTCTACATGCCAAATACTCTCTGCTGTGTATGTGGTGAGTTCTAATTTGCTGACAGTGTGATAAGAAGCTACATATTGGCAATTCCACGACCCTATGACTCATACCAAACACCATCTACTGTCTTTCTCGCAGACCAAGACAGATGCGAGTGTGGCGAGTCCTCAACGCTTTAGGTCAACAGCAGCGACCCCAATGTCAGTCAACTCAGCAAGGCCAGGACAGGGACTAAGGGCACACAGCACTCAGATCTGAAACACTACTTTGAAAACATTCTCATCAAGATGCACATCAGTATCAGTCATCAGTCCATCGGGGACACCAAAGCGCAGCGCAGACGGAAGCTCGAATCATACTGTATTTTAAAGAGAAGAGTGTGTACAAGATGACTGTCCCTAACCCTCCACGTCCCGAGCCCGACTTCATGGGGAATCAAGCTGCAGGCACCACTGCGCGGTAAATGGGTTTTGTATTCAGAGCTGGGCGCCATCCTCCATAACCTTCCATCACGAAGGTGCAAATGTTCCGCTGGAGACACTTCTAGAGCCAAGTACCGCAGACAGGGGACGGTGAACCTGCACCATTTTTGTTGTGGTTGACACAGGATCTCAAAAAACGTCCCAGCTTGAGACTGGCTGGCTTGAGACTCACTATGTAGCCAAGGCTGGCCTTTACCTCCTAACCGTTCTGCATCCACCTCCCCCTGCTTGGAAGACAAGCGTGTGCTTACCACACCCTCTACCTATGCAACAGGACACTTTTATCCCACGTTCCCCAGAAGTAACTGGAAACGAGACAGCACACGGGGTCAGTTTCAACCGCAGGATGAGCAAACCCTCACCCCGTGAAACAGGTCTAGAGTGCACTCATAAAAGCTAAAGACACTGGCTGTTCTTAGTGACAGCAGCAGGGTAAAGAGACACACACGTAAAGCAGCTTCTGATCGGAAGTCAAAGTTCAATGCATAACTTACATTTGTTGTGTCTTTGAGAGTTTCAACTTTCTGTGAAAAATAAATTTTAAATTAAAAACAATGAGAATCACAGAGATATTGCTGTTTTTAGGAAATAGGCTTTATAAACATTACTTTACTTATATTATTCTAAGTTTAATCAGGTCAGGAAGAAAATACTTTTTTGTTATATTTTTAATCTAAATCCAATATTTAAATTTAAAATTTCAGATAGCTTATGGATAAACACTCATAAAACTCAAGACTGGCAAGAAAGTATAACTCCCCCTCCCCACAGACACACAGTATTTTGTGTGTGTGAGTGTGTAGCCCTGGCTGTCCTATACTGGCTTTGTAGACCAGGCTGGCCTCAAATTCAGAGATCGGCCTGCCTCTGCCTCCCTGAGTGCTGGGAGTGCTACAATCGGCAAAAAGGTATAAACATTGTTACACCTTTCCCAAAAACGTTCATATTTACTACAGACTTCATGATTTAAAAAAAAAAAAAATCACCTTCCCTAAAGTGTTTTTAAATGATCTAGAACTAATTTCCAAAATTAAAAAGTTAGTAAAAGATGAGTTAGAACATGAATTAATATCACTATTAAGTGTAGCAGAACAAACTGTCAGCAGGAAAATAAAACAACAATTAAAAATGCTGCACCGGGAACTGGGCAAGAAAAGAGAAGGCATGGCACCTATAAATACCCACAAATACCCACAGAAACCCAAGGGAAAGCAAACAGAGGGCCGGAGGGCTGCCACTGTGGGCCCTGCTGCACCTGCTCATCCCCAGCACCCCCCACCCCTCCCACTCCCCCCCACCCCCCACCCCCCGCAGCTGAAGTGGCCACATGCAAACTTAGTAACTTCCTTTTTGTTTTTGTTTTTGAGACAGAGTCACTGTGTAGCTCTGAGTGGCCTGGAACTCACAGCAGTCATCCTGACTGTCCCTGAGTGCTGGTATTAACGGTGTGAGCCTCCAGGCCTGGAAAGGTAATAACTTTCTACCTTCACACACTATGTACGGAGAAGAACTTACTCCCCGACATTTCATACTTGCAAAAACAGAATTACATTAAAATCTTCCTATTATACTTTTATTTCATTATCACACTGGAACTGAAAATTTGCCAGACAACACCACTTGAAGACACACTACAATAGTAAATAGCAGATCAATGATTTCATTTTTGGTGGGTTTTTGTTTGTTTGTTTTGAGAGAGGGTCTCACTATGTAGTGCTCACTGTGCGGGGCCAGGTGCCACCATGCCTCATCCATTTTTGTTTCATTTTACAGAGAATCTTACTAGGTAGAGCAAACTGGCCATGAAGCCCTCATCTTCCTGCCTCAGCCTTCCCAGTGGTGGGATTCTAATCAAGATGCCTTTGTTCCCCTGGCTTCAAAAAAATTTTTTACAATAAAATACTGATATATTTCCATTACTTTTCAAAAAAACTTCTGAATTTTAAAAAATTAAGTAAAATTATGATTGTAGAATTACCTTTCTCTGTTCGTCATCTTTACAATTTTGGAGCTTGTCATCAAAAAGCTAAAGGGTATGAAAAAGACAATTTTAGGGTCAAGATATTTTAATACATTGTATCTATTTACTAAACAGGAAAATAACCTTAATTTCTAAACAGTTCTATGTGGCTAACATGCATTTCTAACACAGCACAATTTTTTTCAAGGCTCTGTATCAAATCACATTCTTCTGTGTGAATGACTGTGAACTGCTAAGAACAACTAGAATGGTAGAATTATAACCCAAAAGTGATTTTTGTCTACATTTGCAATACATGTGTGTACGTAGGCACATGTGAAGGCCAGAGGAGGGTGCCCGCTTTGCTCTGCCAGACAGGAACTCTAACCGAATCTGTTATGGGAAGGCTGGCTAGCCAGCAAGCTCCCAGGACCTGCCGGGCTCCATCCTGCAGTGGTATGGTTATAAGCATGTGTGGCAATGCTTGGCTTTCTATGGAGGTGCTAGAGATTTGAACTAGGCCTCTTGCTTTCTTAGCAAGTGCTTTTGTTGACAGAGTCATCTATCTCCAAAACCATGACTTTTTGAACTTTTTAAAAAATGTGTGTAGCGTGGGGGGGGGGGGGGCAGACAACCCTGAGTGTCTTCTTTTACCATTCTCTAACTTCTGGCTTTGAAAATCTGGAGCTCACACACCTGACTCGAAGCTGCCCTGAAGGCTCATGGTTTCATCCGAGCTGGGCTTACAAGCATGTACTGCTGCGCCCAGCTTTGACAAGTGCTGGGAAATCAACCCAGAGCCTCATGTTTGCACTGAGCCTAGGTCTTCTCCACAGTGCCTCCACAAGACTTTTTATTTGTTTTGAAAACAGGGTCTAACTGTAGGCCCCAACAGGTGATCCTCCTGATTCATCCTGGGGGCAGGATTACAGAGCCCAGCCATACAAGGTGCTCAGTAACTTACACTATCTATGTGAATTCAAAGGGTTTTCTGCTTTGTCTTCTAAGTTAATGAAGCTTTCTGCCAACACCCACGCCAGTGTCGCCACAGTAGCATAAGCTACAGAGCGGGGGATATGCTTTCTCCGGAAATTCGCCCCCTGGAAGGTCCCTGGTAGACTCATCCCACTTGGAAAAAGAGACATGTTCTGAGATTTCTACGCTTTTTCAGTTGTGGCTCTGGGGCTGGGATAATGAATTCTTTGATCTTTCTCTGTGACTCCTGAAACAACACAACTAAGTTTATAAAGAAATTTATTATTAATAGATTGTTAAAGGCTTTAATAAAAATAATAAGTTTAAAAAAAGTAATGAATTAGATTTAGTATTAATAGGCATTAAGAATAGTGAAAAAAATAATAGGCTCCTTCTTAAGAAATAATAGCATGAGAGGTGCGGCTGGCGGGAGTTTCCCTTCCCTTCAGTGCCTTGTTTCTAAGGAAGATCATAAATCTTTAGCAGGACATATGGGAGGATGGTTAACAGAGGTGTAGTTAGATTTTGATACAGGGAAAGACTTTGGCAGGCATCTGACTTAGCTCCTGACTTTCCTCTTCACTGGTTAGCAATAATGAAACTGCGTTTGAGTTTTCTTTTTCTTTGTTTGCTCTGATCAAAAAGTTTTTAGGCCAAGATTTCTTGTGGGCACTGCTTTATGTTTGACTGCATTTTGAGTTAAAATGTAAACTTTGTATTCTTGGTAAAAGTCTGAATGTTCTGGGAAGCATGCCAATTTTAAGGTGCCTTTTGTGGAATCATTATAAAAATACTAGCTTGATTTCAGTAAAGTTGCAGCAGAGTCAAAACCATCAAGGTGTCTCTGTCTGTCAATTCTTCGCCGAAACTGTGTCTTCCTGTCCAAAGCCTTGTTCTCCCGCGGACGACGGGAGCCCGACTGGGCCGGTCCGTGGCACTTTCCTTTTCTTTATATGACCTATCATTTCAATTTATACAGTCATTCCCCAAAAAAGAAAGGGGGAGAAAAAACCAAGGTCTTACAATGTCCTATTTAGCTTTTTCCTCAATAATCTACAAGTCTAAAACATACATTTTATCAATACAATTAGAGAAAAAGATCTTTTAAGGAGTCAGCTTTACAGATTGCTGAAAACCACACGAGGGATGCAAATTACCATCAAGAAACTTCCTCTATGTTCAGCTTAGTAGCCTTTACTACTTCACATTAAAACAGCATGGCATACCTTTAATTGTTCTATCAAGATCTGCAGGTAAGCGTCAGCCTCCGTAAGTTTCTTATCAAAGTCTTGGACACTAGGAACAAAGCCTGAATCCAAACCCTAGAGAAAAAGAGAGTGAATAATCTCCCAGTGCCCAAACAACACTTGCTCTACAGCAAACTCTTCATCCTTCATAAATGAATACTTTCAACTTTCCAGACAGTGTATTTCCACAAGCAGGTTATTTAACTAAAATTTCCAAGAAGAATACCATACCAACCTCCCTCATCAGCCACAAGCGCACTCAGCAATGACATGGCCTGCTGCTCAAAGGAAAGGCTTCTCTGGCCTCGAACACCATTTCCCCCAAACCCCTACAACTGCCTCCATTTTCCAGCAAAACCATAGATATTTAACTAAGAAATAGAAAACTCCTACACATTTCCTATGTTCCACCAAGCTTTCCTGTCCCCAGCATCTTCATTTCATGTTCTTTTAACTACACTCATGTACTGCTGGGGGTGGGGCTCAGTGCATGTGGGGTCAGAGCAGAGCTGTGGGAGTCACTTTTCCTTCCACCAGGCAGGCCTAGGGCTTGAACTCGGGCTTGTCAGCAACTGCCTCAACCCACTGAGCTAACTCCGTGTCCATTATATATTATATTCTTCATCCACTCCAGCAGGTCACAGGTTTTCCACCTTCTTTTTTTTTTTTAAAGAGAGCAGAACATGGTGGCACACACCAACAGTCCCAGTCCCAGGGAAGCTGAGACAGGAGACTTGTGAGTTCACAACCAGCCCTAGGCGTGACCCCATCAAGTTCTCTACCCACTTGCACCCTTGGCATGAACACCGCACTGCAGACAGGGCTTAAGCGTTTATTCACAGGGCGCCTGTCTTCCTCAGTGGAGAAGCCCAGTGACGGCAGACCCTACTTTTTACATCTCCACCTCAAGTTCTCAAAAGACCATCCGCCCCTGCCTGACTTGATTCAGAAGAAATGCTGTGCTCTTATCATCCCTGACTAAGATGGATCCTAGCTGTGGAAGATCAAGCACTGGAGGAAGCCCAGCCCAGCCCGTGAGTCTACTTGTACGCCAGCTGCCCGGAGAACTGCCCCCTCAGACTTCTCACCAGGCACAGCTGTCAGCGGGTGCCGAGGGCGCAGCTGACTACCTCCGTGCGCCCTGTCTCCTCCGCCTTTGGCCACTGCTCACTCCCCACGCTCTCCACGCAGTGAGCGCACACGGAAGCTTCTCTGATAGCACAGCAACATCCCACGTGGGCACACAGAATATTTCAGCGTTGTTAAACGTGACAACACCCAATTTCAACACCCCAGACAGGGATGACAAGTGCAGGCTGGCAAACTGGTACAGCTCAGACCCCGCCTCCTCTCCTGTCACTAACGCAGCAGTGACTCCAGCTACAAGCCACCACCCAGGACTACACTTACTGCTGTTCTCCTCAAACTAAAATCAAAATCCTTACACAAAAGGTTAAAAATTTAACAATTACAGCCTGTTATGACCATGAGAAAAGCCAATTTATCTTTTAATTTTCTTTTTCAAATTTGAAATCTTGCCTTACCTCAAGAAAAATCCCTCAAAAAAAAGTAATATATGCGAAACCAACATTTAAGGAAAATTATAACCAATGCAGTCACAATCTAGACAATAATAAAATTATAGTTAAACATTCTTTTGGTTTTTGTTTGCTTTCAGACAAGGTCTCACTATGTAGCCCTGACTGGCCTGGAACTAGCTATGTAGACCAGGCTAGAGCCTTGAACTCACAGAGAGCTGCCTAAACCTGACTCCAGAGTGTTGAGATTAAACACACTGAACTATCACTGCCTGGCTAAACACTTTTTTAAAAAGCTATCCAGGACTTATATTACAAATGTTTGATGAGCAGAGTGGAGATCACACATCACACTTGACAGAAGGAACAGATCCTTCTAATGCCGCAACACCAGAGGAAAATGAGGAGGGTGCTTGGCTGGGGTTTTGTTGTGTTTCATTTCAAGAGTATAAAAGCATAATTAGCATTGATTTAACTATCAAGACCCAGTTAACATCAGCTAACACTATTCTTACTCAATAGGTAAAAAGATCAATGACACCATCAAGAATAAATGAGAGAATCATCTACAGGAAAGGAGGAAAATGATCTTTAAAAAAATTTCCTCTTCTAAATTCATTTAGAACCATCACTATCAACAAATCAATTAGCAGAGCCTTATAAACAAATCAGGAAAACTCTGCTCCAGAAGAGCAATACATTATTTAAACCTCAAGTGAGAGACTCCTACCTCAATTAATCTTCAAACTAGCCCTCTGCTGCCTCTCAGGTCTGAGTCCCCATCGGGGTCTCCTCGCAGGCCCCGGTGACTCTCCCCAGCTTCCCTTCTCGGCAGTATGAGCCCCACTTCACAGGCTCACAGCAAGGCTCACGATTCGGTCTCTGTGGAAGGCTGATGGGATGGAATGCCTGTACAGCAGTCATCAGCCTTAAACCGCAGAGCTGGCCAAAGCTGCCTCAAAAGGAATTCTATAGGCAACTCGCCTACACCCAGTGAGGTACTGTGTACCATGGACAGGAAGGTGACAGTAACGACCCTGTTCTTACGATGACAAAGAATGCACTACAGTTACCACCAGCTTCGCTCCTGGACTGAGAGGTGAGGTCACTCAGCCTCCCTGTGGCTCCTCAGGCCGTCACAGGTGACAGCTTTATAAAAAACTGCTGGATTTTGTGCTCAAAACCAAAGCTGAAGCAATGGCTCAGTGGCTCAGAGTGCTTGCTGCTCTGAAGAGGACCAGAGTTGGTTCCCAGGGCCCACTCACGGCTCATAACTTCAGGTAAGTCCAGTTCCTCGTGACTCAGTGCCCGCTTCTGGTCTCCACACTCTGTATGCACACAAACACATACATGCATGCACGAACGCGCACACGCACGTACACACACAAACACACAGGCCCAGAGACTTCTTCATAAACAAGACCAAGAACATAAATCTCTCCAGAGCTGAGGGCAGCCAGTCTTCCTTTGGAAAGAACAGCAAACAGGGCCGACCCTTAAAAACTGAGGTTTCTACATCTGTGCAGGGGTTCTAGGTTATCTCCATGCATGGTCCTTGGTTGGAGTAGCGGTCTTAGAAAAGACCCCTGGGCCCAGATTTCTTGCTTCTATTGCTCTCCTTGTGGAGCTCCTGTCCCCTCCAGGTCTTTCTGTCTCCCCCTACTTTCATAAGATTCCCTCCCCTCTGCCCAAAGTTTGGCTATGAGTCTCAGCCCCTGCTTTGATACCTTGCTAGGTAGAGTCTTTCAGAGGCCTTCTGTGGTAGGCTCCTGTCCTGTTCCCTGTTTTCTCCCTCTTCCGACATCCATCCTGTCTGCCTTTCTGAGTGAGGATTGATCATGTTACCCAGAGTCCTCCTTCTGACTTAGCTTCTTTAGGTGTACAGATTCTAGTATGTTTATCCTATATTATATGTCTAATATCTACTTTATAAGTGAGTATATACCATGTGTGTCTTTCTGCTTCTGGGTTACCTCACTCAGGATGATCTTTTTTAGTTCCTACCATTTGTCTGCAAATTTCATGATTTCCTTGTTTTTTATTGCTGAGTAGTATTCCATTATGTAAATGTACCACAATTTCTGTATCCATTCCTCAGCTGAGGGACATCTGGGTAGCCCATGGCAGCTCAGTGTCCAAATGGGTTTCCTAGTAAGGGGAACAGGGGCTGTCTCTGACATGAACTCAGTGGCTGGCTCTTTGATCACCTCCCCTCAAGGGGGGGGGGGGGAGCAGCCTTACCAGGCCACAGAGGAAGACAATGCAACCACTCCTGATGAGACCTGATAGGCTAGGGTCAGATGGAAGGGGAGGAGGACCTCCCCTATCAGTGGACTGGGGGTGGGGCATGGGAGGAGAAGAGGGAGGGAGAGTGGGATTGGGAAGGGATGGGGGAGAGACTACAGCTGGGATACAAACTGAATAAATTGTAAAAAATAAAAAAATTTAAAACAATTTTTAAAAGGCAAAAACATATGTAAAAAGGGAAGGAAAGAAAGAAAACCTGAGGTTTCCCACTGGTAGAGCATTTGGGCATCTAACCGCAGCATCTGCACCTGCCGCAACACTGGGCACAGCACTGTGTGACTCCTCTACAGAAACACACCCGACATGAGAACGGGCCACCCTGGGCTGCCTCAGCGCCACAGCGACACCCAACGTCACCTGCTGCCGCCCACGGCCCCCTGAATTTCTCTGCACTTCCGTTCTCTCCTCTCTCCTCCCTTCCCTCAGCAGTAACTGCAGTGACACACTGCACCAGTGGTGATCAGGGCCCCTCTGCTCTCTGGCCTACACCCTCAGTTCCATCACCTGTCAGCTTGCACAGGAATTCACTTTACACAGCTGGTTCCAGGAGAGCCAGAGCTACACAGAGAAACCCTGTCTCAAAAAACAAACCAAAACCAAAACATAAAAAAACCCAACCCCACCCCTAAAAAGGAAAAGGAAAAAGAAACTTATACTTATGGGTAATAAGAGGAACTAAGACAAACACGAAATGACACAAAAGAACTTGAAAAAGAAGACATGTTCACTTATTTCTTTTCTTTCTTTCTTTTTCTTTTTCTTTTTTTTTTTTTTGAGACAGTGTTTCCCTGTGCAGCCTTGGCTGTCTTGGATTGGCTTTGTAGAACAAGCTGGCCTTGAACTCAGAGATCTGCCTGCCTGTGCCTCCCGAGAGCTGGGATTACAGTGCTCAGCTAAAGTCTTGTTTTTTAATGAAAACTTGAAGAACTGAGTTTGCTATATACAGTTTTTCTTAAACAGAACAAAGTAGTTAGTATACAAGAAAAGATACCACCCACCCCAACCCACCCCGCCAAAAGCAGGGAAACCATGCATAGGGCACAAATCTAGAGGCCAGAACCTGGTAGGTGAAGGCAGAGGACCACAAGAACCTGAGCTTGAGCTGAGCTTCAGCTCTGCCTCAAAACAATTTGTTTAAAAAGAAAAACGTATTTGAAATAAATTGTTCACACAAGTGTTCCCAGAAAGTATAATAAAGATTAAGTCATTAGCACCAGAACTACAAAAGGGAAAAACAGATAAAATTTTAGCAGAGAAAAATCAACCTAATGAAAAATAAGTAAGAGTATGGACAAACATAGGCATTTTAGTTAGCAAAACAAATACCCTAAAGTTAATGAAATTTTATGCAAATGCCATTTTAATCAAAATAAGAGCACCTACAAAGTCCATGTTAACACCTGGGAAATGACACAGATGACCTCTCACCCAATCAAAAAAGCAGAGGGAATACTTACGATTCAATCACTTACAATTATTTTTGAAAATTCAAGAACTGGAGAGATACCAGAGGACTGGAAAAAAGCAAGTGTGGTACTGATCTTCCATAAAGGTAAGGAGAGAGAGAGTAGAAAGTTACCATGCTGCAAGTCTGACATCAGTAATCAAGCAAAGAACTAAGAGAAAACCTGAAACTATACAGAGGAAAATAAGGACGTGAGCAACTGACAAGTTAAAACCAAAACAGTATGCCACAGTTGCTGGCTTTCTGTTCCTTAGAAAATTAAGTTAGCACATTAAGCTCTTAGAGAAATGGCAGCATTTTGTCTTCCTATCAGATGACTTAAGAGTTCATTTAATAACAAAAAGTACAGCAAAGAAACAACTTAGTAATTTTCATGTGCCCATGATTCCACGTGAAAAGTAACTAACGCTATCCTTGGCTAACTGAGCATTCTGAAACATTTTATATTCCCCATGGTCTACCCACTTCAGCTACATAACAGGCCTTGGCGCTACTGAGGAGTCCTGAATGTAAGCATCTCTGTGTGTTCTTAAGCCTAAAGACAGGACACTCAACTATCAATTCATTTGGAGTCAAGATCATCAGTTTCTAAATACCTATAACATTGTGCATTGAGTTGAACTTTTTTTTTCTCCATTGTACTTTCTAGAAGGTATTTTTCCATGGATGCAAATTAATTTCTTCTATCCACATAGTAGCTATTAGTTTGTTACCAAAAACTTCTGCATATCCCAAGAATGCCCTAGAAGTTTTTTTTGGTTTCCTCCCCCCCCCCCCCCCCACACACACACACACAATTCGGAGTGAGCCTAGAATCCCAGCACTTGGGAGGCAGAGGCAAGAGGACAGCTGAGAAGTCAAGGCTAGCCTGGGCTACAAAGTGAAACCTTGTCTTAGAAATAAAAGATCCTAACATAGACTGGCACTGGACCCAGTTTACAAGCACTTACTGAACACCCGGATTTTCCACTAGTATTTCTTTTTCTTTTATTGAAAATAGATTTTTTTCATACAATATATTCTGACAACAGCTTTTCTTTCCTCAACTCTTCCCCAGCTAGGATTTTTAATTAGGATTCTAGCCCACTTCTCTACCTATAAATACTGTAATTTTCTAATAAGTGACAATGCTATCTGAAAACAGTCTGCAGCCTGTGGACACTTAGCATGGAATCTGAAAATCATCTGCGGGTTGATGCAGCGGAAATGAGCACAAAAAAGAGTTAAAGACTGAGCATGTTCTGAATCCTGACTCTACAGCTAACAGACCACCTGTCTGCTCAGGACAGCTTCGTGTCCCTGCTTCCATTTCCTCATTAACAAGATAGGCCAGGTAATGATAGCTGGTCCATTTCCTTCCTAGATCTGGAGGCATGGAGAGCCAGAATTCACTTCTGTAATCCCAAAATCCACACAGCGGCATCTCACAGGAAATCACCTTGATGGATTTTAAAGAGAGAAAAGAAGATGGATGAATAATACTATCAGCTGCAGGCAGTTTTTCTTAGGGAATATACAACCAAGAAAAAGACACAAGCATTAAACTTAGCAATCCTTTTAAAAAACAAAACTAACAGTAAATTGCTGAGCCCTGAACAATGGATGGCACAAAAAAAATGGTAAAAGCAATAAACAAAATGTGGCAAAATACAGCCTAGAAGCAGGTCAGAAGAAAAAAATCCAGTAAGAGATGTTCAGAAAACTGTTGGCTATTTTGCCTAAAACACAAAATGTAAGTTGGATTTACTAATTTCCCTGGTAACCAAGAGTCAAGTAATAACAGAGAAAACTTTTGCTCCACCAAAGATTATAATGGTTAAACACAAGTCTAAACAACAAGAAACACTAAAACTGTTTCTAGTTTTAAATCTATGCAGGAAATTGCCCACATAGAGAGAGAGAGACACGACAGAAATGAGCTGTTTCATACAACAGGTGAATCGGGAATCAAGCACTAAGAATCAGGTACAGACACGAGCACTATACAAACTCATGACGAAGCACAAATACGTCAAAACAAAACAGCACTAATGATGAAACTTTCACTGTCAGAACAAAATGTAAACATGGGCTCCATAGATATGGTTTCTTAAAAATGGAACAATTTAAGTTCGAGGCATATACCATTTTCGTCATTGAAAACCACTGATAACTTTCAGCAAAAACTTCTCCCAGTTTAGTAGGTAAAACTACATAAAAAGCACTAGAGTAAATGGACAAAAGCCTGAAGTCTATAAATAGAACGGGTATAGAGCTTCATAAAGATATTCAGAAATCACAAGTTACACATATCTTTCAAAACGTTTTATATGCAAAGTCACCAGTATTAGTCTTTCAGATTATCTTTGAAGCTGGGTGTGGTAGTCTACAAATTAAGTCCAGGATAGCCAGGGCTACACAGAGAAACCCTGTCTCAAAACAAACAAACAAAATACAACCAAAAAAAAAAAAAAAAGTATGAAATCCTAAAATATGCCAAAACAAAACTTAGCATTGCTGAAACTACTCATACCCCATTCCAAGCAAAATGGATTGTAGCCAAATGTGTACTGTCATTTAAAGGTAAAGCACCAGGCAGCAAAAAAGGCCTGAAAACAGCCGCTGCTGTACTGGGAAAATAAGCCCCTCAATGAAGACAAAGCAAGTCGCTGGGCGGTCTCCATGCCCTCCCTGCCAGCGCGCTGTGACCCCGAGGCTAAGAGCGAGCCGCGAAGAACAAAATATATCACGGGAGGGGTTTGCAAATAATGCTGTTCTGCAGAGACAACTGAGTTCGCTGAGGTTTGATTATTGTCTATTTATTTTTACTTATTATCTTGCAGGTGCTACTTATTACTGTTGGGTGGGAGACGCCATTGGTGTACGTGGCCTCGGGCTGCACCTGGGCTCCTGCTCCCGAGGCAGGGCCAGCGCCCTCTGCACCACCTCTCTGCTATCAGTCAGGTCGAGTTATCTCAGCTTTTAAGAAAACTGAAGAAGAGAAACACAACCTTCCCTCCTGCAGCCTGGGGCGACCAACGCTTTATTCAGCCTATTAAAGGTCTACCAAACGCAGCCATTTCAGCTGGCTTTCCTGGAGATGCGCTGTGTGCAAGCAGAAGAAAGGAACATCAGCTACGTCAGTCCACAAGCTGAGCACGTAGCCAGCACACACTGACAACCGCCTTTCCAAACGGCCACACTATACTCTTCTCACAAGACTCTGTACAGCAGACCAGTAACAAATGAACACCCTCGAGGACCCGCAAGGTAAACTATTCACACCAAACCCAACAAGCCGCCTTTAGGAGGCTAGGTCTCGGCCACATCCCTTCAAACAGCATTTGCCACAGCTGTCTTTGGTTAAATATGGATGTCCACTGGAAGGAAACACAGGCTCAGTGCTGATAAAGTTGCTCCAAGTGCACATAAAAGTATTCCCTTTAAACGGTTGGAACTCTACCAAGACGACCCGAGTTAACCTGTTCTCTACTGTATTCACCAACCTAGTGCTTGGTTTGTGGCAAATGTTGACGTAAAAAAAAAAAGATGGTAAAAGCTGAATCCTGCAGTGTGCTTATTCAGCAGTAATTAAACAGAGAAGTACCTTTAAGTTCTATATCAGCATCAACTGAAAAGGTACCTTACTCAGTTGTTAAAGACCACACAGATGCTGAGATCTGACGATGAGGAGGAGTTTTGTTCGTTTTTGTTTTTTGTTTTTGTTTGTTTGTTTGTTTGTTTTGAGACAGGGTTTCTCTGTGTAGCCTTGGCTGTCCTGGACTCACTTTGTAGACCAGGCTGACCTCAAACTCAGAGCAATTAATCCACCTGCTTCTGCCTGTCCAGTG